TCTTTCCGTGCCGGAACGAAGGTAATAATGACGATAACGATAATGATGATGATGATGATGATGATGATGATGATGATGATGATGATGATGATGATGATGATGATGATGATCATAAATACGACGACGACGACGACGATGATGATGATGATGATGATGATGATGATGATGATGATGATGATGATGATGATGATGATGATAATGATAGCAGCAAAGACGATGTTGGAGCCTCTATAAAGACTACGACGACGACGACGACGACGATGATGATGATGATGATGATGATGATAATGGCGACGGTTATGATAATGAACGTCGAGGCCAGCGCATTATCCGCCGGCCAGAAGTAATCATCATTTGGCGGAGACCAATGGGGAACACCATGAGAGAGTGAGAGAGAATAAGAGAGAGAGAGAGTGTGTGTATATGTGTATGTGTTTGAGAGAGAGAGAATATACAAGCACACACAGGTATGCACTTTATAAAAGTCCAGTTCCCGGCCCGAGAGAAGACAGTTTACGTCTCGCTACGATCGATTCTACACCGTCAGAGAACCGTGAGAGATAGAGATATATAGAGGGAAAGAGAAAGAGAGAGAGAGAGAAAGAGAGAGAGAGAGAGAGAGAAAGAGAGAGAGAGAGAGAGAAAGAGAGAGAGAGAGTGAGATAAATAGATAGATAGATAGATAGACAGATAGAAACACGCTACTAGGTTTTCTTTACCAGATCCTGAAGAAAATAGTTGAATTATAAAAAATTATTATCGCCGGGGAAGAAAAAATCGTGAGAGATCTCTTCAGCTTTTGTTTGTGCTAAAGGAAGTATCGAAAAAGTTTTTCTTCCATCTTCTTTTGTTTCCATCTTGTTTTTATTTGTTGTTATTATTTTTCTTTCCTCTTTTCTTTTTCTATTTTTTTGTTTTTCTTTTCTTTTTTTTTTTTTTTGATATCAACGTACCTACCTACCGTCGGTCAATCTTACTCGTTTTACGAATAACACGTCAAAGTTTGTTCACAGTAAAAATCATTTTTAAACGTAGATTTTTCAATTTTTCTTTTCAAAATCCATCCTCCTACCTACCGCACCTATTCAAATCTCCTGCGTATATTATCTATCCTGATTTTCTATATTTCGATAACAGTGATTGTATGTAGTGAATGTACAAAGAAGAAAAAATAAAAAAAGAAACAAAAAAAACAAAAGAATTAAAAAACTAGTGAAAATTAAGTGACAATTTGTGTACCATATATAGAACAATTTGTGTATCATATATAGAATATATATGTATGTGTATGTGTATATATATATATATATATATATAGTAACAATATGTATACGTATATATAATCGAATTTTTCTATGAAGTTTTCTTTTAACAATCGTGAATATTTGTGTACTGTATAAACGTAAATCACGATTTAACTGTGAATTCATCATCTCGAAGATTTCTCAAAAGATTGTGTGAAAATTTCTTCGCTTATCCATAATACCGAATGACAATTTGAGTGAATCCCTCTCGAAGATCTGTCCTTTTTTTTTTCTCAAAGAAGAATAAGAAGACGAAGAAGAAGAAAAAGAAATATATATATATACATGTATATATATATATATATATATATATATATATATGTATATATATCGAAGTTATTAACAGAGATTTTGTTTAATCGACGAAATAACTCGACATATAACAAACAATTCAGGTGAGCTACTAACATCACAAATGACACGTTAGTTTAGTTAGTTAGAAATATTATAATATCGATTTAGAAAAAAGATTTCTTTTCAAACAAAAAAAAAAAAAAGAATAAAAGAAAGAAGAATATATATATATATATATGTATATTATATATATATATATATATATATATATATATATATATATATATATATATATATATATATACCTGTGATGGTCTCGGCGTCCTTAGTGCACGGTGGTGTCGTTGCTGATGATATCCTATTTCTATTAGTTCTTAGGGCTTGAAGAGTCGCCCTCGCCGTAGGTGAGACCTTCAGGGAGGTGACGGATGGTCTGGTTTGCCCTTCGGGCCGCTTTGGACCCACATCCTCCACGGCGGCCAGTTTGGACGCTGTGGCGATGAGCGAGATCGCCTCACCTTCCTACAAATACACAAATACATGCAAACATATACATATACATAGATACATATATACATTTATATATATATATATATATAACGTTTTTATCCAAATATTAATTTGGATGGAAAAGTTTCTTGCTTGTTTTGTTAAAAATTTCGAAAACAAAAAAAAACCGGAAAAGGTTGGACAAGTTCGAAAATTTTATGTTAATAATTCAATTATTATTATTAATATTATTTTTATTATTCACAATGTAGTTACATTTATCATATAACAAGATCGTATGAACATTTATTTTATGCCGATTACGACTCGATTAGCAATTTTTCCGACGAGCTTTTCATTTTCTTTTACTTTTTCGCTTCTCTTCTTTTTTTCCCTATTAGAAAATCAGAATA